GGAAATGAGGAAATGAAGATGGAATTAATCAACAAATGTACTGTGCTAGGACAATTCAGGACACCAAAAACACAAGTGTGGCATGACTCTTTTCATAACTCAACAATTGAAGCAGTGAAAAATTCAAAAGCCTGCTTTTAAAACAGTCTTCTACTTCAGAGGAATGGATTGATCCTTTCTCAGAAACTTTTATTTTTGGAAATGTGAATCGTAAGATGAAAAAAAAGAAAAAAAATACAAAAAGAAAAACTGCCCAATGCGTTCCCCATCAGTCCAGATCTCCATCTGATGTACCTGAGCTCATGCCTGAGTGTGACTACTTTTACCTGAGTGTGACTACCTTTACCTGAGTGTGATTACTTTTACCTGAGTGTGACTAGCTTTACCTCAGTGTGACTACCTTTACCTGAGTGTGATTACTTTTACCTGAGTGTGACTAGCTTTACCTCAGTGTGACTACCTTTACCTGAGTGTGACTACCTGAGGGTGACTAGCTTTACCTGAGTGTGACTACCTTTATCTGAGTGTGACTACCTTTACCTGAGTGTGACTACCTGAGGGTGACTAGCTTTACCTGAGTGTGACTACCTTTATCTGAGTGTGACTACCTTTACCTGAGTGTGACTACTTTTACCTGAGTGTGACTACCTTTACCTTCCTGTGCACCAAACATCCCCACCTCAGTGCACAGCGATGTATTTCTACCTAAAATAAAGATTACACAAGGAAACGTGTGGCATCGTGGTGAAATCAGGCACTCGTCAAAATACGGAAATTGAAGAAACCGACATTGTTCTGCCTGTGGGGTAACTTTCAACAATTTTCTTTCCTTTTTTTTTTTTGGCTCAACACTTTTTGATTTCATTTAAAGACACATTTCTATGCAGTTTTTTACTGAAATTTTTTTTTTTTAATTAAAAAAAAAGTAAATTTGCAGTTTTCAAAGACACTCAAGCTGTGGGGTCACCAAAGTTTGACGCTCATTTTCTCGCCAATTTTATCTCTGACATCTGGTCACTCCCATATCCTTCAATAGCAGATATCTTTACTTTTATTCAAGACAGATGGACACTGTTTTCATTAAAAGAAAAACAAACGAACAAGCTTTAATATGTGAGGCAGCGTGGTGGAATCAGGCTCTCGTCAATTTTTGGTCATATTGAGTTTTTGGTATCATCTTAAAGCTTGTTCATTTGTCTTGCTTTCAATGAAAAAATTACCCATCCATCTTCAATAGAAGGGGAGATATTTTGAATTAAAGGAGGTGGGGGTCACCTGGTTTAAGAAGTAAAATTAGTGTGAAAATGGCCGCCAACGCTTGGTAAATTCCAAAGCTGGAGTGTCCATGGAAACTGTAAACTTATATTTTTTGTGCTTTTTATCAACATTTTTCGGTGAAATCCTCCTAGGAATGTGTTTGTAAATGGACATAAAAGGTGTTGAGCCAAAAAACAAAAATTTGATAAAAATTGCTAAGCAGGGAAAAAACTGCTGTTTTTTTCGATTTTATTATTTTGACGAGAGCCTGATTCCACCACGCCGCCTCACATATGATACCAATAACTACATATCAAGGCTAACAAAGTGACTGGTGCCTGATTCCAGCGGGTCATGACACAGACAGAGAAAAGTGCAGAATTAACGGACCTGGAAACTGTCCCACAGGAACAGACAGGAACAGGAAATGCAAGTCCGGGACAGCATTGAAGGCCGTACGGATGATCTCCTGGGCACATCCCATGGCGTATTCCTTCTTGGCGACGAAGTAGTGAAGGAACAGCGCATTCAGAGAGTTCACCTGCAAGAAATTATACAATATATTGATGGTGTTGGGAACAAATGGGCCATCTCCTGGGAAGCTTATTTAAAAGGAGAAGCGTTAAACTATTTAATTAAACTGTCAAAGACCACTTCACGCTCTGATTAAATCTTACTGTTTCACGCATCTATGTTAGTTGAATTTTAACATCATAATGGGATGATGCATTTGACCCAACTTTACAACAGAATCATAAAGCAGCAAAAAATGGTGGAGTTGGCCTATATCGACCCAGCTCCAATGATACGAGTGCCGTCACAGAATGAAATGGTAGGATGTCTATTTTAGATAACAGCAACTCAAACAGTTCATAACACTGAGTATGCATAATTAATTTCATGTTCTAAAACACATCAGAAAGTGAGAATACTAACACATACATAAGAAACATTTGTAAATCATTTTATATGCAGAAATTATGTTTAACATTCTCTATTTGAGCATAGATAGTCAGTTCAATGGTAGAGTTATTGTTATTGTTATTGTTTCAGGAAGCAACATCCCTGCACTCCGGACATGTCCATTGATGCTCCGTTGCTCTCTCCAAAATGTTGCCGAGGGTCCTTCTACTGATTGTGCCAGTGCATATCTGGTTGAACGTTCTTCTGTTCTTTCCTGCAAGGATGCCAGATTTTCCGCTTCCTTTTTTTCAAGGGTAGAGTAGAGTAAGCTACTAGCATCTTGTTTCACACAGCAGTGCTCTACAGAGGGCAGGAAATCTGAGTTAATCTTCACCTTCAAGTTGAACGAGTCACGAGGGTGGAGAGCTAGGCAAACTCCTCAAACAACCTATGCTCAATAATCTTGTGTTGGGGATTTGAACAGGGGAGCCCATTGTAAAGTTAGGCACGGTATCAACTGAGCTATTCCTGTGCACAACATGCTTCACAAGGGTTCTATAATCAGTTAAGGACTTGTTAAGTGTTCTGCATTATTTTTATTGACAAATTACTTGAAAAAAACTTTAAAATTCCAGATCCCAAGGAAGACTATAGAAGCAAATAACAAACTTGGTCTTTACTTTCATTTTCTACATGGAAAAAAACCCAACAAAAACTATCATGCCTAGGAGTTTCGGCAAACAGACCTGTCCTCCTGCATACTTGGTATTGAACCAGTCCTCCCACTTCGCCGAGTCAATGTCAGGGAGGTTTGGGAAATCCAAGAAAGCTGCGTGGCCCATTATCTCCTCGTTCTTGTTGTTCAAGGTAATGGCCAGCACAGCCTTCTCACTGGGGACACACCACAAGACAACGGTTACTTTGGGGAACCTCCCACCCACTCACAAACAAAACACACTAACACACAGACTGATATGTACACAAAACACACTAACACACAGACTGATATGTACACAAAACACACTAACACACAGACTGATATGTACACAAAACACACTAACACACAGACCGATATGTACACAAAACACACTAACACACAGACTGATATGTTCACAAAACACACTAACACAGAGACTGATATGTTCACAAAACACACTAACACACAGACTGATATGTCTGAATGTTGGTGAACTAAAAAGTCTACTACTTCTTATGTAGCCACACTGCGTTGCGCCTTTGTATTGTTCAGACACCTGACCAACACACAGGAAGCTCATTTTGTAACAGGCAACAGGTCTGCAATATGTGGCAAGACTCCGAACACTAAAGATGTCGTCTTTTCCTTCTTTATATGTTACACACACATACACACACACACACATACACACGCACACACACACCCACAAAGACACACATACGCTCACAAAAGGTGAGAGAGAGAAACAAGAAAG